CACCTGCCCATGCTCTGGTGGGCCCGCGGCCTCCCGCAGTGCAACGGCCACTTCCTGGCGGCGGCGGCGGCGGCGGCTCCCCAGCCTGCGGGGCTCCTGGCGCGCGCATCGGGTCGGCCTGGCGGCTGCTCCCGCGCGACACTGCCGAGCCGGCGGCGGCGGCGGCGGCGGCGGCGGCGGCGCCCGGCTCCCAGGCCCGCGGAGCTCGGGGCAGGCTGACCGGGACTTTCTGGTCGCAGCGGCGGCGGGTCCCCAGGCCTGCGGGGCCAGCCGCGCCGCCCCCGCGCCCCGCGCCCCGCGCCCCGCGCCGGGGCAGGAGCGCACGGCAGGCCCAGGGCGCGGCGCGCAGCCGGGCCTTGGCCGCCGGCCCCGAGTCGGGCCCGGGGACGACGTTCCGCCGGGCTCAGCGGGGCTGGGGCCGCGCGCTCCACGAGCACCTCTGGGTCCTTCCCCGCTCCACCGCCCGCTCGACGCATGGGAAGACTCCCTTCCCCGACCAGAGCCCGCCCCGCGCTGACAGAAGCGGCGACAGCGTGCACGCGGTGTGCCACACCCCGCCTGTGGCGCCCGAGAGCCCCCAGACTCCTCCGGGGACCGCTTCTCCAGGCAGGCCGCAGGACGAGGGGGGCGAGGCGGCGGGGCAAGGACCCCGGCGACTGTGTGGGGGATGGCAATGGTCAGGGTGCTCAGGAGGGTCGTGCTTCCGCGCAGGGGGCCGACGTGTGTCCAAACCCACTCGTCGGAATTCTGCAGGTGGAGGCGGGTCCCCACCTACCTTGGCCCTCCGAGTGTCTCAAGCCGGCTGGGAATAGCCCCGGGCCGCAGACAGGAGGGAGCGTGGGAGGCGCTCGGCGGCAGTCAGAGCCCTGGGGTCCTTTCTGCCCACACGCGCTGCCACGCGCACAGGTGGCGGTGGTGTGGGGATGGCGGCCTTCAGCCGGCGGTCGTGCGGGCGGCCCCAGGGGCAGGAGGGCCGCCTGGCCCCGGGGGCGGCACTGAAGCAGAGGGAGAGGGCGGCCCACCGCCGTGGTGGGAAGCCCTGGGCTTGAGCGGAGGCCCACGGGGCTGGCGGTGGGGGGTGCGGGGGGTGGAGCGGGCACGCGGGTCAGGAGGTGGCCATGGGTGAGGGCCGGGCGGCAGGCCTCGCGGTTGCGGGCAGCCCCGCCCCTCCCCTCCGGGAGCCCGAGCCCAACGGTTGGAGCCCGCGCCCCGCCCAGGCCCCGCCCAGGCCCCGCCCCAGGCCGCCAGCCCGCCGTCGCCTAGCAGCGCCTGGCTGTGATTTGACTCTTAGCCTCGCGCAGCCGCCGGGGCCCTGACACTTGGCGGGACTGTCCGACTGGGCTGGACGCTCTTCGCGGAGCGCACCAGGTCAGTGCTGTGACCCGCAGCGATGGCCTCCTGGTTTGGCCGCCTCGGCCTCGGCTCCGGCTTAGGCCATTCCCTGGGGCGAGTGGGCGGCAGTGTGGCTTCCCTCCCCGCACACCTCTCTGACTTCACCAGAGGTGTGCTGAGGAAGGGGACGCAAAAGCTGCCAGACTTCCCCGACTCGGGAGAAAGGAGACGGAAGCCATTCAGGCGACCGGACCACCCGAGCAGGAGAGACCGGCAACTCCAGCTCGGAGAGACACCGCAACTCTGCAGGAAACCCTCGAGGAAGGAGACACGAGGCTCGCCTCCCTGCAAGAAGAAGGCAGTCACCTGAGGGAAGAACTGGAGCCACAGAGACAACAACGGGCTCGAGCCGCTCCAGTGGTTGACCCGAACACCCTCGACGCCGTGACACAACTAGAATCTGAGGTGTCTCCACTGGAAGGGATCGAAGGTCACCTGGAGGAGGAAACCCAGCATCCTCCAAGGACCACTGAAGAGCAAAAGCAGAGGAAGGCACTGAAACTTGGGACCGAAAAGACGATGCCTCTGACCGAGCGGCTTGATGAGCCGGACGAAGATGAGACCGGGCCACGAACTCAGACGATCCAGCCGCAAGACTGGGAGAGCCAGGGCCTTCCCGCTCGCCTAGCTTCGGCTGCCTCCGTCCAGGATGCGGGGGGCCTCCAGCAGCAACTGCAAGCCTACGCTTTGGAAAGGGAACGAGTGTTGGCCGTTTTCGACGAGAAGGTGAGGGAAAACAGCCAGCTGAAAAGGGCGTATCACGCGATGATGGACCTGCTGGTGGCCAAAGAAGCAGAGCTCGGGAAGCTGCGAGGCGAAAATCAGACACGGCGCCCTCGCTCTGACGGCGGCGGGAGGACATGTTTCGAGAAGCGATCCGGCACTTATCACGCCTCGTCCGAGCCAAAGACATTGAAATCGGTGCCTTGAGCCAGAAATGTCAGACTTTACTGACCATCTGGCAAACGTCCGACGCTGGCCATGAGGTTCGGGGCGTGGACGCGAATCAGTTGGAGGAGCTTCTCCGGGAACGGGACACGTTGAAGCAGCGGGTCAACGTGCTGGAGGAGTGGCAGCGGCTGGTGCTGACCGAGGTGCACAATCTGCAGCGGGAGTCATCCCAACTTCAGAAGGAACTCCCACCACTCGAGGCCCGGGCCTTAGTGGACAGCGAGGAGAAGTCTCGGCGACAGATGCACCTGCCGCCCCGTTGCCCCGTTCTCAAGGGGATGCGACCCAACTCCGGCTCTTGGGGAAGAGACTGGCACAGATGCAGCTCGGCCTAGAGCAGCTCTGCAATGCCGAGGAGGTTCTCTTGGGTCCACCCGACCTCACGTCACCACAGCCGCCCGCCGCATCGTCGCGGACTTGCGAGGCAGCCGGCTCTCAGGAGGCAATTAAGTCCGAGGCGCTGGGCGAGTCTTCGAAAGGGCCGCCAGCAGAGATGGAAGCCTTAAGGCGAGCCACGGAGGAAAAAGACGCAGCCATCAGAAGCCTCCAGGAGGAGACTCAGAGACTGTCCGAGGCGATGGCCGCCACCTCGGAACTGGAGAGAGAACGGCACGCACAGACGGATTCCGAAATTCAGCGGCTCAAGGAGAAACAAGAGGCTTTACAGAACACGCTGGAGGACAAAGAGCTCTTAATCGAGGCGCAGAGGGAGGAATTCCTTTCTCTGAGGGAAAACCTCACGACCCAAGCGAGCGAAAACGAACTTTTGAGGCAGGCGGTGACAAACCTGAAGGAGAGGATAGTCCATCTGGAAGCGGATGCGTGCCAAGTCAAACAGGAAAATGCAAAACTGCTGGAAAGGTCCAGGGAGAAGGACACCGAAAACCAAGCCTTACAAGAGACGAACATGCGCCTCTCTATGACGCTGAGGGAGAAGGAATTCGAATGCGTCTCCGTGAAGAAGGCGGCTCTGGCTTTTGAGTGCCTCCTGAGAGAAAAAGAACAGGGCCGGGCTGGGGAATTCAGCCAGCTTCGCAATGCAGTGACCTCCATGCAGGAAAAGAGCATTCTCTTTCAGCCGAGAGAGATGAGGCGGCGCTGGCGCTGAGACAGGAACGAGTGGAAAACTGCGCCCTGCGGGAGGAGGTTCGCCTTTTGCGGGACAAGGAAGCGCGCTTAGGCCAGGAGCTGGGGAGGTCTCGGACGCAGGCTTCAGAATGCGAAGACGCGCATCTCCGGGCAGCGCGGCTGGCAGAAGACAGAGCGGCTCAACTCAGGAGGAAAGTCACGGCGCTAGAGGAGAGGCTCCTGTCATCTTCCCACGCCATGCAGAAGGCGAGCCAGCGGGCCGCTGCCCGGCTCGGGTCCCTGCAGGAGCAACTGACTGCGGTCACCCAGCAGAAAGAGGAGACTGCCCTCCAGCTGTCCGCCTCCCGGGAAGCAGAGAAGCAGCACGCCGGAGCCCTGGCCAACCTGAAGGTGGTCCTGGCCGAATGGATGCAAAAGGCAGACGGTCTGGAAGGGAAGCTGAGGTCGCTGCAGGGACGGCTGGAGAGAGCGCAAGCCGCCTCGCGCCTGCAGGAGGAGCAGATCGGAGAACTGCAGCGACAAGACGAGGCCCGACAGGAAGTGCTGGAGGACGTCCAAAAGAAGTGGACCGGCTTAGTGAGCACCCTGGAAGGAAAAGCAGACAAGGCCCTCCTGAGAAAGCTCTTCACGGACGCCTTGCAAAGCGCCAGACACGAACGCCGGGAAGCGTTCCGACGGATGGGAAGCACCCTGGGTGTGGAAAGGGAGGAAATGGAGCAGTTGCTGCAGGAAGAGCAGGGCGGCCTTACCGGATGGGTGACCGGGCGGCTCGGATCCCGCAGTGCCCCGACACGCCTCGGAGACCCAGCCAGCAATCCGAGCTCAAGAGTTCCTTCTCGGAGCTTTGGTGAATTTTCTAGAAGCTGAGTCTCAGGGAGCTTCTCCACCACGACAGCTCCCCGCTCAGCCCAGGAAGCGTCCCGAAGCACCCGCCAGGCAGAGACTGGCTAAGAACGTGCCAGCTCTTCTGAGACCCGCCCTCGCAGCCACCCCCAGAAGATCGGACGGGAATCCCTGCTCCCCAGCCGTGTCTCTCATCGACCCACCCGGCCCCGGAACCGGAGGGTCTGGGCACCTTCTCTTAGACGCCGTGACCGACGTCGTGCCCACGGGCACACCTTGGCTGCTGCCACCCGCCAAGAGTGCTGCCGGGCTGCTCCAAGGCCTGTCCAAGCCCTAGAGGCTCCCCAAGCCGCAGAGGAGACGACGGCGCTTTCAGGAAAGCCGGTCCCCGCTGCGGGTTCCTTAGCACGGAGTGGCCTTGTGCTAAAGGTCACAGGTTTCTCTGCGGCTTTACTCGAGCTTTCAAAGAAATAGCTAGGGTTCACGCTTTCAAAAGGGGGTCGCTGCAGGTAGTCACCCAGCTTAAAGCGGACGGACGGATGTCACTTCTCTGGAGAGCAGGCTTGGCACGGGTGGGATCGCAGGCTGTGGGCCAAGGACGCTTCCGATTCTGTTTGTCACGCTGTCACCGTCTCCGAGGAGCTGGGGGGCGTGGGGGGGGGTGGGGGTTGGGTCTGGGAGGTGGGGGGTTGCCGGGTGGGGTGGGGGGTGGGGGGGTGGGAAGGGCGGGGGTGGGGGAGGGGGCGTTTATTGAGCTTTCCCTCGGGGAGCGGGAACCTAACTTGCCTTAGTGCTGCAGAATCAGAAAGCGCGCGAGGGCGCCCACTCCCGGGACAGTAGGAAGAAAGGGGAAGGGCACCAACGTGCAAGGGGCAGGCATCCAAACTTCAGGAAGAAAGCTTGGTTTCCCCCGGCTCGGCTTGGTCCTCCTCCTCTTTCCACTGCCTGGGAAACCGCCCTCGGGTGCTCTCCGGCCTCTGGGACAGACAGGAAAGAAAACTCCTAAGCACGGGAGGATCTTATTCCCTGACTCGCTTTTGGTTGCAAAGCCAGTCACCTGACCTCAGAGATCTTTGCAAGGGTTTACGAACTGCATCTTGTTGTTTTCCAAAGCAGGGGTCTGTGGTCTGTGGTCCGGATGGACACCGACTGACTGAACCGGCGCCTCGCGATGGGCATGGAAGCCGCTTCCGCCCCCAAGCCCATCAGAGGGCCGTGGTCAACGCCCTCCCCCCGCCCGTTTCCTCAACAGCCCCTCCAAATCTCCATCGCCTGCCTCAAGCGGGATCGTCCTCATACCGTTCGGGACCCGAAGAGATCAGAGGCCAGCTAGTCAAGAACTCTCCGTTTCCCGCACCCCCCCACCCCCGTTTGAACGTCCCTCTATTTCTCTCCACCCACCCCTCCCCTTTCCCTTTGGGGTTTTCCAGGAAGAGGGATTCAGCTTGGCAGTTCCAGGGTCCCGGCTCCACGTGGGTGCCCTGGGAACCATCTGCTCAGCCTCCCCCTAAGATCTCGTTGCCTCAGTTTGCCAGCTGCTTTCTCTTCGGCCCGTCTCTTTCCTTAAGCCGCTGAGCACACCCAAGTTCTCTCCCGGCATCCACACCTCTCCTTTCTGCTCCTCCACCACCGCCTTCTCTCTCTACCTTTCACGGCTAAGCTGCTGCCAAAAGACCTCGACTCCTTCCTCGTCAGCCATCCAGTCATCGGCTCGTCTCTCACCGGCTCCTCGAAAGACTCCCCAAATCTCGTCGCCGTCCCGTCCTAGCAAGAGGCCAGGGCACGCCCTTCGGTTCCTTCGTCTTCCTAAACTCTCTGTGGTGTCTGAGGAATGCTGCCCACGTCTTCAGTCTCTGCAAGTTCTCTCCACCCTCTTTCTCTGGGGGATGGCCCCCTCCCCAGGTGCCCTTCCTAACCTCAGACCCCTCTGTCTCACTTTCCTCTGCGGCTTCTCCTCCCGACCACTTCTCAAAGGGTTCTGTTCTCGAAGGCACGGTCTTCAGGGAACAGGAACCCCTCGGGTCTCAGAGCAAGCTCATGCGCTCTCCTACGATTCGACTCGCCCCCCGGATGCCCAGGGCTTCTGAGTGCGTACGACTGACGTCACCCTGCCCCTGACTCCACGCTGCTTTCTCTAACTGTCTGCTGGACGCACCTCTCAGGATGTCCAAAGGCTTCTCAAAACCGACACGTCCAAAAGGGAGCCCGGTATCCTCCAACAAAACCCTCCCCCTCCTCTTACCTTCCTTTCATCCCCTCAGAAAACCTCTGCCCATCTCATCACCCGAGAGCAGAGCGAGAGGCCTCAGGGCCACGCTTGAGCTCTCTGTCTCACCCACTTCACAGCCTACCGACTCCCAAAGGGAGCCGAGCGCCTTCCCGTGTTTGCCTTCCTCTGCTCTGCCGCATGCCTTCCTGTCTCTTGCACGCAACCAGCCCAGTAGACTCCTTACTGATCTTGCCGGCTGGCCTCCTGGCACACCGCCCCCCCCCCCGCTTGAATCCATCCTCCACACTGTTGGGAGGGTGACCCAAGAGGAAAACCCTGCCGTTGCTGACACCACGGTGCCCGGCCCCCACAGGGCTGGACGTGGGCAAGAAAGTAACCAAAGTTTCTGAGGTTGTTTTGCAGAACAACAGGAAGACGGCAGATCAGAGAGCAGCTTGAATGGCAGCCCCCCCCCGCCCCGCCCCCGGCCCCGCCGAGCGGACATCGTGCAGAGGCTTGGACCAGCTGAAATGACGGATCGCCCACTTCCCGCGTCACGGACAGAGATCCTCGGCGTGCAACACGTCGAACCCCACTGACTTCGCACTTGTGACCCACGAAGAAATACCAGTGACAGTCGCACCTGAGCAGAGGACTCTTCAAGCTTCACCCCCAGCGCTCTCCTGGTCCCACCCCTACCCCGAACCCCAGATAAACGCCCCAACGTTTTGTTTTCCCTTTGAGGAGGCGGGTTTGAGTTTTACTCCCACCTCCTTGTCTGGCCGCCTCTTGATCATAAACCTCTTTCCTTGCTGCAACCCTGACGTCTCACTGATTGGCTTGGCTGCGAAATCGGGTACCCGGACCTGAGTTTGTGTGTGGTCCCATCGCTTCCCTGCTTGAAAGGAATCCAGGGTTCTCCACTGCCTGCAGGCCAAACTGGAGCAGAATCTCCAAGGCCTGCCCCTGCAGCCTTCCTCCCTGCTCCTCACCCACACGTGGGCCACCCTCCCCCACGCGCGACTCTCTGCAGACCCCAAACAGGTTCTGACTCAAAGGACTTCAAGCTCATCGAGCCTAATCGTAGCAGGGTAACTCCTTCAATCCAGTGCACACCGAAAGTCTTTAATTTTCCTCTGCCTGACCTAGATGGCGAGGGATGGATTCCTATGCACCTTAGGTTGATGGGGATTTCTGAACACTAAACACGTGAGTTCAATGGCAATTTCTTATTTATTTACACAGGCAGCCTATGCGAGGACACTCTACACCATGTGTAGCCACATAGGAAAGTGCGCTTGGGGAGAGAGTAAATACGCAAGTGGGTGGGGGACAGTCTTTGTAGTATCAGGAGAGGTGCGCTGTCCCCTGGTTTCCACAGGAAGTGGGACTGGCTCATTTGAATAATTTCACAGGTGAGCAGGGAACTTGAGACCACTACTTGGGGAGCACCCATGCCTGCTCCCTGTGATGAAGGGGTTGTTTGGCGAGGGGATCTTGTCTCTGGGAGCTGTGGAGGAGGGAAACTTGCAGGTAGGCCATTTGAGGCCCTCTTCGTTTACCAGGTTTCAAAGCAACACTTCATATTGAATCTTCATCTCAGGCCATAGTACAGTTGTCTCTCTGATGCCTTGACATCGTCTTACACCCTGGTGATATCTGAGACATTTAGGGAGGAAGAGAAATGCTTCCCTGGGAAACAATGTTGGCACTAGACCAGGAGGGAGAGGGGGTCATCGACAACCTTGAGTGTATGAACTTTCATTGATATTCACTCGCTTGATCCCAAGAGAATTCCCAAGCAGCCAAAGGTTCTGTGGGAGAGGTGACATCCTGCAGCTCCATCATATTTGGCAATGGAGGGAGGACAGGGGAGGGCACCCCATCTGGCAGGTCGCACATGCCACAGGGCCCAGGTTTGGATCCATCCTATTGCAAGGAAGCCTTGGTAACCTTCTCGCACTTGGTTTTGTTTTGTTTTGTTTTGTTTTTGAGGAACATTAGCCCTGAGCTAACTGCCGCCAATCTTCCTCTTTTTGCTGAGGAAGGTTGGCCCTGAGCTTACATCCGTGCCCATCTTCCTCCACTTTATATGTGGGACCCCTACCACAGCATGGCGTGCCAAGCAGGGCCATGTCCGCACCGTGGATCCGAACTGGCGAACCCCGGGCGCTGAAGCAGAACGTGTGCACTTAACTGCTGTGCCACCGGGCCAGCCGCATCTTCCCGCACTTGTTGGATGCTACTTCCAGGACTAAAGTGATAATAGGCAGCTGGGGATGGAGGCTCAGCGTCTGGGAGAGATTCTGTTTCCAGAAGAGGCCAGTGTGTGGCCAGTAATTGCTGCTCTAATACGGCAGAATGCAGGGCCAAGGAGGCGGGCTTCTTGCATCAGGAACCCACAGACAACTTATGCATGTGCTGGGTTTTCCAGAGACTCCAGGAAGCATGAGAGGAGGTTGCCGAAGCCTCTTCCCCACAAGAGTCTCTGAGGGCTCTAGTGGGAGGGCCTGTTGATTTTAATTTGGACAGCTCCTAGAGTCCTTTGTTGGAGGGGGTCCCCACTGAAGCTGGGCTCATTTATAAGTCACAGCATAAATGGCCTTAAGTAAAATTTGTAGACAAGGACTATATTGCCTCCAGAAGCAAAAAGGGATCACATGATATTGGATTGTACGTCCTTCACAAGTGTGTCAAACAAATGTCCTCGAAGGAGGAGGTCATAAAAGTCATGTCATGCCTGTACTCCTGGAGAAAGGGGGATCCGGTGAAGTCTGCTGCAAAGACTGCCTGTGAGAGCAGAACGCTTAGTCCCTGTGGGTAACAAGGCAAAAACATGTCCCCTCAGAGGTGATGGCAAACTGTGGCTCGGAGGATGTTGAAACAGGCTCTGAACAGAGCATATTAACCCAATCTATAACAGCAAAATGTTCAGCCACGTGTAAATGTAGTTGGGCCCAGGAGGTTTAAGTGGACCAGGTTTATTTCCTTCAGGTACAGTCAGACTCAAAGATACAGAAATAACTGTCACGAAGGAAGAAGCTTTCTCTCCTCACAGATTCGAGCAACAGAAGGCAGGGTACACCATGGAGGGCCACACAGGGCAGCACCAGGGTCGGTCAGGAGACAGACGGAGCAGGGGAAAACGTGGGCGAGAGCCTTTCGAGTGGATTCCACGGGAAGGAAGGAGTGAGGCAGGGTGAGCAGGTGTTGGCTTGGCTGGTTTGAATCATTTCAGTGGGCTCAGGGCACAGCAGTGTCCCTGGTTGTCTGGTCCCGTCCCTGGGTGACGAGGGCAAGGGAAGAGTGGCCCAGAGTGGAAGAGCCTCGGAGAGGAGGGGTTGAGGGTGTTGACTCTAGATGATTACGTACGAAAGGATTGCTCAGAGGAGTCATTTACTATCTGTAGCAACTAGTTAACCCTGGCAGGGCAGTTCCTCCAAGGTTGCCGAGGCCTCGGATGTCAAAGCCTTAAATACAGAAACTAGAAAACATGCTCATTTCACTAGGTTAACCATAATTTCAGCTCTTGTGTAAAGTCCATGATGGTTTCCAAACTAGGGCATGTTAGCAGATGTTAAGTTAG